TATCAATACTGAAATAATGTTAAAAAATGTATTATTGGAAATATTTATTGGCACTCTTTTTTATTTTGTTAAAATTGCTGACAACTTAAATATATTGTTAAAGATAAGAAGCATCATGCATTTCTAGTATTTGATTTAATAACAAATTTGTGGTTTAGGGTTCTTTCAAGTTTGCCTTTAGGCACTCTATAGTTCCCAGCTGCAGAGCAAAGTAGAGTTTTTTTGCAAAAATTTCGAATGTGAATAATTTGAGAATCACCTTTCAGATTTTGGAAATATGAGCCGATTTTATCAGTATTTTGAAAAACAAGCTTAAATTTTCTTATATGGAGTATTTTTACAAATTGCTTCTTGAAATTTTTTTTTAATAAAGTTTTTAATCCCACCAAAGAAATATTTTAAGAATTTTGAATTTTCTGCATGCTAACAACCTTGATTTCAAGTAATAATTTACGCAATTTTAAAGCTATGCGTAATTCGATATGATGCATGTGACTTCCTTATGTTAGTCTAAACTACTGCACCCAAAACTATGCTGAGAATGAAATATGTATTTCTAAGTAAGCTTCATACAGTTATGAATATTAAATAAATATGGCAATTAATGCATAACCGGTGAAAGATGCACACTGCACCAAATCAAGGCCAAACAGTTTCTTTTCACGGCTGTGCACAGTGAGTTTTGTGCACACTATGTCGTAATACACGGAAGCTGCAATAATTGAGAATTCATGACCTTTCTTGAATAAGATGCAACACTTCATACAGCTGTGCATTAATGATACAATTTCTCAGCTGTAAAATCCAATGGTTTCCCGGGTTTTTTTCGATCTGATTTTAATACTTTTGCTGATATTTGTATTCTGTATTCTTTTAATCAAATGAAGACCAAGGACGTAACGCTTCAAATTTTCCTTTTTGTTTTCATCGTTTTCATCATTTTCATCGTTTCTATGATTGAAAGCAGTTTTAGTAGTCTTTCACTATTTCCAATAATTTCACATTCCCTGTTTATTCTCTGATTTGCTTTGGTTTCGGTTAATTATTATAATTTCAAAGCAATTCACTCGTATTTCATGAAACACTAGCATTTCCCTAATATTCCGTGAATGTGATTTCCTATTGTATTTCACTTGTATTTCATGATTTCCATCATATTCAATGATTTCCTACAACACATTTCACTGTTTCTATGATTTCCTATAAAATTCCACATGTTACAATGATATCCTATCATTTTAATTTTCATATATTTCATGATTTTCTTTGATTTCCCTGAACTTCCTGGAAATGCGTTTCTGCATCAAATGCAATCAATTTCCACTGGAATTTCAATTTCCTATTTTAGTTAAAAAATCGGAAATATTTCGCTCTTTCACAAACTTATTTTACTCATTAATCTGATTCATTTAGTATTAAATATTAATCTGGTGCTTTTAGTATTAAATATTAATCTGGTGCTTTTAGTACTAAATATTAATATGGTTCATTTAGTACTAAATATTAATCTGGTTCATTTAGTACTAAATATTAATCTGGTTCATTCAGTACTAAATTATAATACTTATTATTTGTACAAGTGTCATTTTGATGACTTCAGTTTGATATTTTCAATAGGGACACAATCGTGAGAACACCTCTAAGGATGAAAACTGATTTAAACTGAATGAAAACCTGAATTATTTATTTGACTTTTCGCGCACAATTTAGGATACGAACTTTTATTCCTTATTTCACATAATATTTCTAGTAAATAAATAATTCATCTGTGTGTTAAATTTTACAATTTTGAGCAGCATTCTTTCACACGTAATTCAATACTCAAACCTTGCTTAAATATCCCCCCTCGTGACACCCCACTCACCCCCTACCCCCTCTCCTATTTTGGATTGACTCCCCCAAGACTCCCGCCCCCCGCCTTGAGAGGAAAAATAGTTTCAAACTGGTGCTTAGTTGAATGCAGCCATTATGTGTGTGATTATTATTATGAGTATTTTAGGTGCGACGCGCCAATGATTCGGAAAGGTTTATAGCTGGACGCCTTCTCCATTAAATATGATAAATAAACAGTTTCCTCATATTGGGGAAAAAATTGCGGTTTCGTCAAAAGTAGCAAAATATCTAAAATATAGATAAATCTAATTCATGTTCTTTATATTCATTTAATTTATTTAAAACAATAATTTTATTCTAGTTAACTTAATTTATACAACTAATATGCTAAAATTTGTTTTAGTCAGTATCATTTTTGAACTTTCCTAGATCTTTCCCTTGTAAATATAGATAGAACATTTTTCTCAATATGCGTAACTTTTCTAAACTTGAATTTAATATTTTTCCGCTGATTAACTAAAATAAATAGAAACCTCCCCTTTTTAAATAGTTTCAAGAGATTTGTGAAAATTCAACTGTGGCAGAAAACAAACCCTTCCAACTTAAATTTGCACATTTGTACTTTTCTTGAGCTCAAGTTACCCGGAATAGTTTACACTGTCCTAACTGTTTTAATCTCATTCATTTCTCAAATATGAAATTTTTATCAAATTCTGATAATCAGAAATGTATCAGTTATCAGTTTTATCAAATTCTGATAATCAGAAATGTATCAGTTATCAGCTGATAATCAGAAATGTATCAGTTTTATCAAATTCTGATAATCAGAAATGAATCAATTATCAGCGAATAATCAGAAATGTATCAGTTATTAGCTGATAATCAGAAATGAATCAGTTATCAGCTGATAATCAGAAATGTATCAGTTAGCAGCTGATAATCAGAAATGTATCAGTTATCAGCTGATAATCAGAAATGTATCAGTTATCAGCCAAAGATTCTCTTTTTACCTCTTACAGGGTACCTTAACACTTTTTAACTAAAAAATAAAGATTTTTTTTTTTACTTTCATCTTATAATCTTTAAATGAAACTTTAAACTGTCCACTAGGGAAAAGTTTTTTTAAATAAATTAATCCTGATGTTATTGCGACCTGATGGTGAAACCTTTGATATTTAAATCTTTACCTTTATATTTTTAAGGTTACGAAGATGTAGGGATTTTTAAATTTAAGATTTAGGCGATTTACCATGGTTTTCAATTTCATTCAATTAAGTAAACTAAGAATCCTAAAATAGCTGTTGTTTCTTTTTCAAGTTCACGGGACTTTTTAAAATAGAAAGCATATATTTTTAGATTATTTTTAAGTGACAACACTCACTATTAGAAAGTAGAACTTAACAAGTACGACTCAATATTTAGCAGTATCTATACAATATTTTAAATACAGCATATGTTTTCAAGTTTTTACTCAGAGCTGCCATTTAATTACAGATTTATAAGTAATTGAACACTCGCAGCAAAATCTAATTTTCAAATCTATTTATTTTTAAGACTGATAAATGATTTTAAAAACATATGAAATTTCAAATTTAGGTCTTTGCGATTAGATATTTTAAGATATTGAGATTAGAAAACTAGAGTTTTCAGTTTCTTTACACAATATTTTATCAGATTTTCTAAGGATTAATAATCTGAATTTTTGCCGTTACAAAAGCCTCCAATGATTATATTTTCTTCCTGGAATCTTTAAAACAGACTTGATTAGATTTTAAAAGGATTCTGTAAATGTTAAAAAAATAAATTAGTAAATCTTATTTGTTTTCAGAGGAAAGCTGGTATCAGATGTCTAGTTGTACACATCACCAACTGTCCTGGAGTACAAACTAACAGCTATGCCAGGCTCCGCTGTCTGTCCAGCTGACAGATATTAAATCTACGAAATAGGAAAAGTTACAAATGTTTTATAAAATATTTCATTATACCAATATGCCTAATCTTAAAAATGTCAAAAACTGCAAACAGAAAATTTTGAAAGTGCAGATATATTTCACATTTTGTTAAATGCTCAACATTTTCATTCAATTCAATTTAATTTTAGTTTCAGAGAGATATGTTTATTCAAACGGGGGGAGTGATCGTGCTGATTTATTTTGTAGTTTTCTTAATTTTCTTTTTTAATCTGTCCTTACTTTTATTTTAAACGTACTTCTTTGATTCTCTAACGTACTCACTACCTTTCACTTTCTCTACTTCCGTCTACTTTTTTACATTTTCCTTCTTTGCAAAGATACTTCTAAACTTCTATTTTGTTAACTCTCTTTTTCTACTTCTCTACTTCTTTATTTCTCTATTCTCTACTTCTCTACTTCTCTACTTCTCTACTTCTCTACTTCTCTACTTCTCTCACCTCTATACGTCTCTACTTCCCAATTTTTCTACTTCTTTTATTTCTCTACTTCTCTCTACATCTCTACATCTATGCGTCTCCTCTACTTTTCCACTTTTCTAATTTTTTTTAATTCTCTTCTTTTCTTTTTCTCTAATTTTCTACTACTTTACTTCTCTTCTTCTCTACATTTCAACTTATCAACTTATCAATTTCTCTGCATTTTTACTTCTCTGCTTCTTTACTTGTATATTTACCTATTTTTTACTTCTTTATTTCTTAAATATTTCGTTAATTTTCTCTCAATATTCATGCTGATCTGCTGATTAAAAAGGATTTACAACAGTATCGCCAGAACTGATGTGTTCATTCCTTCAAATTATTATTCTAATGAACCGTCTCTTTAAACTATGTTTTATAACTGTCCTAGCATCCTTTTAAACTACGTTTCTTACTCGTCCTCTACATTGCTCTTCCTTCGGAGCTTATCTATCTATCTCTCTTTTCCAAGTTCGTACTTTTTGTACACAAAATAGAACAGAAATAGTCTTTTTAGAGAGACAATCGATTTTCGGGGATCTTTATGCTCTGCTACATAATTTAACAGCGGGATTCACATTTAAAGGGTTAAAATAATACCAAACGTATTTCAACTCTGAATGTTAAACTTTAAAAGTACAGTTTTAAAAATTGAATTTAAAGAAAAGAAACTTTGGTTTGGCAAGTACGTTATTGGAAAATCTGAGATTTAACTTTTTTTTACATTTGTAATCATCAGGAGGCTTTGCCACTAAGTACGTGAAGAGCAGGTTTCAGAGGGATAGAGGAATAGCGAGGGTAAAAAAGGGAGATATTCAGCGAGATAGCGAGGGAAGGAGGCCTGAAGGCCTGGAGAGTCAAGGTCAATTCCTTGGTTGGAGTAGTAACATCCTGCCCTACTTGTGCCATCCCTCCCCTCCCAGCCTCTCTTCTCAATCCTCCTTTTACTCTTGTCCCTCCCCTCCTCCTCCTCCTGCCCTCCCGACCTTGTATTCCAGCTGGCCTTGAGTTCAGCCTCTATTGCTCCGGTCGTGTAGACTCTATTCCTGCAGTTGCAGGAGGTTTGGAGCCCAGTGCAGCCGCCGGACTCAAACCGGGGCGCTCTACACCGCTATCACCGGCTTCCATATTGCAAAAATTCGTGCGGATTTGCGAATTACCTGTGCTGGTCTGGGGTGAGCCTGCACACCGCTCAGACTACAGTGCAGGCACACCAGTCTATACACAGTCCTGCAATACAGTGCAACATTTATGTTTTTCCAGTTTGTGCGAATTAGTGGCAAAATAATATTCTGCACAGTGAGCAAAGTTTAAAAGTGAACGACCTTGTTAGAAATGAACGGTTTTGTATCCTGCATTAGTGCACAATTGAAAGCTCCAGATCTTACTCAATTGAAAATGCATCTGATGCACGAAGTTTGCAAAAATTTCACATTTGCAAATTCTATAACCAGGAAGTAAAGACTGTGCTGTTACGCTTGGAGAAATTTATGGAGAGCTTTTAAACATTGTGAAGTTGGAATTTCTTGGTCTTAAACTCTTACTTAGCTCAAAGGTTTTGGGTTAAACTAACTGAGCAGGGAATCTAGCTGGAGCAACTGAATCCTACATGCTGCATGCTAGTTTCCCGCCACCCCATCCCTGGCCAGGCATGAGCCACCCGGGCCACGACCTGGTCCTTCAGGCTCAGGTTAGACATGGAGAGCAGACGGGTCAACATCTTGGACATCACATAGCTCAACATCAACATCAAACTCTCTATGTTGACAACATGTGCCAACAACCTATGTCACAACCCCAAAGCTATAATAATTACAATTATGGAGGAAATATTAATCATCAGCTACGGCCCGTGAGTCGTCAAAGCCAAGATGGAAACCTACGGCATGCCAGCGGTGGGAGTCAAACCAGTAGTCATAGAGCTACTCCCCCATCTCCTGATGATCTTAGAGCACAACTCTACAAACAGAACCATGCTCAGAACCTGGAGCGAGGTTCAAGAAACAGTTTTGAACAGAGTCAGTGCAATACAAGGGATGTGCAGGGGAGTCCAGGAAACCTGCACCCTGGAAGCAGTCCTAGAACAGGACATAGGATGCCTCCTTCACCAGCTAGTAGTATTCCTCAGAAGTCTCCTTTTGACCTGACAACTCAGATGACCATGGTTGGATCTAACACAATGTTATTTCATCATCCTATGAGGAAGGATGGTGTATCCGCTCCTCTGATGCCCCCTCAGACATATCCCATGGTAAATGTTAAACAGGAACCAGGTTCACCAGCTCACTATGCGTCTCTAAACCACTCTAGCAGGATTGTCAAACAAGAACCCACCCCACATTCTCCACAGAATGTTAATGCAACTCCTCCACCCACGCTTAACTCTAACCTAGGTACTGTAGGATACACCCAGATGGAGAGAAAAGTTATCCAACCCAACCCAACCCGACCAACCTTTAGCTATCCCAGTCCACAATCATCCAACCCTATATCTCCGGCTAGTGTAGGAGATATCTCCCGTCCAGACAAGTTTAGATATCAAAATACAAGCAAGCCAGTACAAAACCCTTCCCCAGGGGAGAGTACATGTAACTCAGCAATATCATCACGCGAAGGAACCCCTGGCCCAAGACTATGGACCGGAGAGGAAATGACAGGATTGGCTCCAAATATTGATATCTCTAAAGTCCAGGTTAAAGAGGAAACTGTTCCCAGGATATATGATTCCAATGACTATAATCGTAGACCAAGTATAAACCTGAGTTACCCTGCTACTCCAGTAAGATCTAGCCCGGGGGAATCCTATCCAACCTACTCCGCCCCCTATCACTCCATGCCCCAACAAGTCCCAATGCCCCAGAGAAGTGTTACTGCCATGGCTGGGCAGGAGAGAGGGTACAGACCCAGTGTAGGTCGACCTCCGATAGTTATGCCCGGCAACAGTGATGGATCTGTGCCACATAGCAACGTTAAGATTGGTCGGAGGCCGGCTCATCTACCCAAAGTTCTCAAGTTTGAGGATCCAACACTTCCGCATGGATGGCAGAGGAAACTAAAACAGAGAAAGCACGGTAAACAGGCCGGGAGATGGGATGTTTACATTTACAGTCCGTGCGGGGTAAAGTTTGCATCAAGAAAGAAATTGAAACACTTTTTTGAGAAAAACAATCTTCAGTACGACGCGGAACAATTTGATTTCACCCCTTATGGAAAGCATATAGATAATGCTCCCCAGAGACATCTATCATCAACATCGTCAGAAGGAAACAGATTGAGTGGGAGCCCTGGCTCTATGCACAGTCCCTCATCTGGTTACCATGGACCAGGGATACAGGAGTTCATGCCCCCAGGGAATCATCCTCCTATGGCCCACCATCATGCGTACATGCCCCCTGTACCAAGTTACGAGTTTAACCCTATGATGGAGAGCCCACCCAATGCCAATGCTAGAGAAATCCCTCAAAATCAAATCCTGAACCTGTCTCAACCCCCTGCGGGAGCTCTGACCAATGTGTCCCGGAGCACTGCTCCGGTCACAAACTTCCCGTCAGAGATCGACGATATTCTCAATGAAAACTCTGATGTCCAGTTCAGGAACAGGTTGAGGGACTACAACCAGGACCTTAACTCCCGGCAGGGAAACTCCGAAGACGAGAACGGTGAGGATATTAGAAGAGATGATTCAGAACGTGGGTTCATGGCCACCTCCATTAACATCCTGTCAGACGGGAATATGGATATGGATATGAATATAGATATGTACAACAACATGTACACCTCACCCTAAGGTGCTGAGGTGCGCGAGCTTAGTCATAAAACTACATCGACACCAGGGTAGATAAAATAGATTAGTGATACATAGAAACCGTCTTTAAGACTTTAAAAGTTTAAGTATTACATTTGAATGTCTAGACAAATCATGGAGAAAAGTCTAATCAAAATCTCAACCTGAAAAATATAAAGTTTTTGAAACCTTTTTTACCTTTTTATCAAGAACTTTGCACCTCGGAAACCATGGAGAGAAAAAGTACGCCAATAGTGTTTTCTGGTTGATCTAAGCTAAGCCAGGCTAACCCATGTACTTGCTTGTTCACTGTATTATTTTTAAACAAACCTATTTAATCAACATAATAGACACAACCCCCTGTGAACAACAGTTTCATAGATCTCAAACTAACAGTGTACAGCATTACTGAGAAACGTTTTAACATTGCTGAACTTCTTTTTTATTTTTTTTTGTTATATTAAAATTGGGAGAACTGTCAGCTTTTATGTTTCCAGTCGTGTTTTCTCGTAAAATATACTGCCCAATTTCAACCTAGCCATTTCAAGTAAAAATATGATTATTTAGACATCCATCAACAAGTGTTAAAAAAAAAGTTTCAATCAAAAACAAAATCAAAATCCAAGAGATTTCTTTCTTTCAATAAAACAGTTTTTGTTGGATGTTGTTTAATGTTAACAATAGTGACAATTTTATATTAAAAAGATATTTGAGCTTTTAACGGGCAACAACAAATAGTCTGGATCATCAATATTTAATGGCAACAATTATAATGTAAATAAGTTAAACTTTGTAAAATGGTGAACCCCTTAATACTTCATTTTTTCATAGATATTACACTTGTACTCTTGCTCGGATCTACAAACATAACAATTGAAAGATAACATTTTTGGATCCTTAACATTTCCAATTTTTCTTCTTCCTTTTTTTCAAACTTTTTCTCCGTTCCTTGGTTTCCCAAAATTTGAAGAAACACAATATTTCTTTTTCAATTTTTCCGACTAATAACAATCTTTATTTAATCAAAATTCTGTACATTTTCATTTTTTTGCCCAATATTTTGGACTTTTTTCTCATATTTCATAAAAACTTTTAAATGTGATTTAATTGGATGATTCGCTAGAAGTGTCCAAAACAATTGTCAGTTTTTTTAGAACAAAAATATGTCAGCGTTAAAATTAAAAATACTCCCTGCTGTAGGTAGACATGTAATGTCTCTAATCACTGGAGGGGCACAAAGAACACAGGTGTCAAAATTCAAATTACAATTTTTTTTAGATTGATAAAAAATAAAAATTGGTGTAATTTAAAAAAAAATAAAAAAAATAAAGTTTTTAAGCGCAAGATGAAAATTTTGCGTGGAGGATTTTTTTCATAAACTGTTTGTTTGTGCCCCGCAGTTTAACGAAAATTCGGCTGTGTCGCCCCAACCTAAAAGAAAATGTCAGAAATAGGGTCCTTTGGACCGTTTATTTTGAAATTTTCTTTTTTGTTCATAGAAATTATTTGTGATAGATATTTGAACAAAATTAGCTTGTTTTTGAAATTTAAATTTAATTCGGAACTTTTATATTGACCGCCCATAAATTCTTGGTGATATCATGGTAATGTTTTGGAGAAAAAAAACCTGGAGAAAAAAATCTTGCCGCTTTTTTTACACGTCAAATGTTTATTAGACATGGGCATTCGTCACAGTTTGTTGATATAATGCTACTGCCTGGTTCATCCTGTTCATATTGTTCACATGTTAATATAGTCCTTGTAAACCTTGTAAACTTGTAAACCTTGTAAACCTGTAAACTTGTAAACCTGTAAACCTGATAGATATGAATGTATGATGAATCCACCAGACACACAATGTTCATTTTCAAACCGTTTGTCAAAAAAAAATTTGATTTTACACATGATAAGATATTTTCTTACTTTTTTACTCACAATTTCCTTCTCTATTATCCTGATTCTTATTTTTTGTAACTTCCTTCCTTTTAGGAGGAATTTTCTTCGGTTGTCACTACTTCCTTTTTTTAAAGCTATTTTCTTCTGTCAAATCACTCTTTTATAGTTCTCTGGATCCAAATGTATCTTTTCAAGAATTTTTATTCTTTCCGGACATATTTTTTCCCTATTAAGTGTCTTTCTAATATTTTACTTACATATTTCTTTCTTTCAGCTTTTTTCCTTTCCTTTCTTTTGACACTTTCTTTTCTAACTTTCTTTTTTATTCCTTTTCCCCGTTTTAAATTGATATTTTGAGAAATATTTTTGAAAATAATATTCAGTGTTGACGCTTTGGTGTATCCCACCTTCCCCCATGTCCGTCATTATTCTGTTTGCTTTTGGCAATCCTGAGAAAAAAGAACCCTATATAGAGAGAATACATTTATTCCATTCATTTTTTTAGTTTTGGTAAAACTGGGAGGGGGAAGGGGTACACATGTCCTTCTTGTGTAATAGAGCTATGATATTATTATATATACTCAATACTGCGTTCGTATTCAATTCATACATGTTATTTTATTTGAAATAAAATACTAAGAAATTTTATTTTTAGTTTTCTTTGTTTAAAAATGTCCTCTTTTCGAGGTGTTGTGAGTTAGTACAGGGTTAAACTATACAAGTATATATGTTTATGTTAACTATGTAAGGTCTTTGATAGTTAATAAAATAAGTCCAGTTAAAACTTTTGTTTTTATCCTAAATAAGCTGTTAAATCGTGAGAGGATTCTGTTATTTAAATGTTCCAATTTTGTTTCATTCCTTTTGATCTATTTTTTAAAAAAAATTTTGCTTTTCAAAGTTCAGTACAAGACATTAATAATTTGAAGGGTTTCAATCTTTCCGTTGTCGTCACAGTTTTCTTAAATACAAATTTCCGAGAATTACTTTCATTTCTTTCATTTCCAAATTTTTGGATCAACACAAAGATTAAGTTTCCATTTATCAAGACTAGACTGTTATAAGGAATTATTATTAAATATATAGCAATTAAAAGAACTAAACTCCATAGCAGTGTCTTTTCTTACAATTAAGGTAAGAAAGAGTGAGAGAAAGAGAAGAAAGAACGAAGGTGACAATCATTTCTAGAATATTACTGTTGTTGTATACACTTTTTTATACCTTTTCGAAAATATGCCCAACCCTACTATAATATCATTAAACTGACAGCTTTTTCAAAAATACACAGTTTTTGTATGTGCCGAGGTAGACATAAAAAGAATTGAATGATTATTTTCGACTTCTTTCTTTTGATAATAACATAACGGTTCTTGTAGCGCAAAGTTTGTTTTCTATACTTCCTTTCGTTAACGAAACTTATTCCAGCGTTAAAGTTACTAGAAATGGCCGCGTTCTTTTTTTCATTTCGTTCGTGTATCGTTCTTGAAGATAGTTTTTTTTAAGTTTGTTCGAAAAATCGTTCATTCAATAAAAAACAATTGTTTTTTCTCAATGAAAAACTATAGTTTTTTCAAATTCTTTTAGAGAACTTGTTCCTTCATTAAAATACCGATGTTATTTTCAAGTTCGTTAAGACGGATTCTTTTTTTCTAAAACGAAAAATTTCGTTCGTTCTCAAAAACGATGCCCAACTCTAACAGTCACCACTCCTTTCTGCAATAAAAAAATGGTTGCTTGAACCTTGGAATTCTTCATCCCAGCCTAGCCTACGGTTTTCGATTTTAAACAACTTTTTGGAAAAATAATTAAGATGTTTTTCTAAATTTTGCGGGGGTTGAGCAATGCAAATTTCTGCAAATATTTTAATTGATTAATAAACATTAGTCGTTGACATTTAATTGACTAAGGCAAACAACAACAACTGTACAGAAATTTTATGATAAAAAATAATGGAATTTAGTTTCGGACAATAGTTAGTAAAAAGTTGAATGCGAACCAGACCAAGCTTCATATCAAGTGTTTTAGTTTTGCTTTCACATCACAATCTGTTTATGTTGAATAAGACGAGAAACATAAAGGGAATGTTCGCGAAAAATGAAAGGAGGTATAGACTAACGTTGAATCGAACTCGAGGGTGATCGCTGTACTTCTATCTGTTGAAAATGGTTAACCAAGAATCATACCGAAGAACATAGCGTTCATACAAATTGACAAAGTTGCATTATTCAACTCAGATTGTAAACAATTCAATTAAAGGAATTGACTCTTTGCAACAAACTCATATTTTCTAATCCCCATATCTTTGGATTCCAACGTCGTAAACCTTTGAAATTTCAACCTTTTTAGATCAAAAAATATATGTTTGAAATATCAATGGTTTACGACATTGGGTTCCAAAGATATTGGGATTAGAAAATCTGAGTTTGTGGCAAAGAGTCAATTCCTTTGAAATTAATCATTCAGATATTACAATCTACAATCATCCAATTCAAAATGCTTTCGTAAATAGTTAATATTTAATAATATTTTTTATTTGTTTGCTATACAAGATTCTTTAATTAAACGACGATTATTTGTCCATTAGGTCTCTGTTTTCGATGCTCGATTCCTCGTCGGAGAAACACCTAACGGTCAAATATATCGTTTATAGTGCATTGTATATAAAAGAAATAAACATAGTATGAAATATCGACTTAATGAACTTAATATGAATGCATCGAATTATATTCGATAATAATTGGTTATACTATCTGAATAGTTTGTTTTAAAAAAAATTGAAATATTAACGATCTGAGTGAAATATTGTAACTTCGTTAATTTTTATCTCAGAATATAAATATTCTGAGATTTCAATGAGATTTATAGCGCTCTTTGGTATGAGTCATATTTAACCATTTTCTCCTTACAGACGCAACCAACTGATAGAAGTAGATTCGATCGCCATCGAATTCGATTCGACGTTAGCCTGCACTGGTCCTTTCATTTTTCGTGAACACTCTTTTTAAACAATTGGAGGTTATAAAAATACTTTAGGCCTAAAATTATGATAAAAATGTCATTTAGAGAAAAAAGTGTTGTGATGAACATCTATAGAATAATAATAATTGTCCCACTATTACATTTAAAGGGAGTTTTGACGTAATTTTAAATAACTCTCGAGTCTCGATATTTATAAAAAACCATATAAATAAGCTAGTACCCTTTAAACCTTAATCTTATTACCAACGTATTTCTACTTTGAAAAAAGATAAATTCTGTCAATTTTCTTCTTTAAACATTTTTAAGCTTTGATTTTTATAATACAACGTGGTGACCTTTTTCTTTCTACTTAAAATACTATCAAAAATGTGATTTCTGCATACAGGGATCCCCAAAAACGATCAGACTTTAATGATAATCTGGAACTGTCGAGAACAATAAACTTTTCCTTTGTGGCCTGTGGGTAACCTTTTAGAAGACAAATTTTAAAATTTCTAATTTGAATACAAGACGACATTATGAGCATTCTTAGTTCTGAATTGTATAAGGAAAATTATATTAAATCAAGTTTGCAGAGAGAGATGTCTTTTTTGTTCTTAACATTTATTTATTAAATGAACAAGGATCCATCAAACACAAATTTTTGTTGATTTGAGACCCACAAAAGATGAAAATTAAGCTTTTTAATTACTGCGACTGAATTGGTTTATCTTGGTCAGAATTGCATTAAATTAAAAGGTGTTATCCAAGGATGGGACTGTAAAGACGACCCAAAACTACAAAAATATTACGATTTAACGCTTGCTTTTTGGTTTCTGTACTCAATTGGGTACTTTGATAGTTAGCTAAATGATTAATCACTGAAATAAGTTCGTTTCGGCCTATAAGGAACCCTGAATGCAAGGAAATGGACTTAATAAAAATAAGTTCCGTACAATCGTCTCTGAAGTCTCATCCTTTGTGGGTAACCCTGTATATGAGTAGAAGCTAATAAAAACATTGAATTATAACTCTATTCCATATTTAAACTCCCTTAATTTTTACGATAAATCAAAAGATTAATAAAAATTAATTGAATTTGCCTGAAACGAGTGTACATACATAGAACATACATACGATACAAGGTATCATTAGAAACCCCTAATTAAAGTCAGTTCTTCCTTTTTGAACTGATTTTTAGTTTTTGGACATTACAAATATTTGCTGAAAAATTCTAATCTCCTGGTGCAGTGCAAACTTGTGATATAGTCGTCGTATATATCAATACAATGAAGATAACTTTCGATTTCAGTTTTTGATTTCATACTAACCTTTAAAACATAAATATAAAATGAAACAGAAGCTGTCTTTTAACAGGATCTCTTGGTTATCTTGTAAACTTGTAATTTGAAATAACTTGTTAGAAATCAAAAGTTAAATACAAAAGTCGTCTTCGTTGTATTGATATAAAGGCTGACCACTGTAGCAGTTTTCTAAATTATATTAAAATTTACTTTAGTCACAATTTTCTAAATTTAATTACAATTTTTTCAATTTGATTAACTAGTTTACTATGTATATTTAAATGCAGTTTATTAAACTTTATTAAAGGTTTCTAAACTTAATTACATCTTTCTAAATTTGATTGCAGTTTTCTAAACTAAAATAACATCTTTCTAATTTTGATTGCAGTTTTCTAAATTTAATGACATCTTTCTAAGTTTGATTGCAGTTTTCTAAACTTAATTACATCTTTCTAAATTTGATTGCAGTTTTCTAAACTTAATTACATCTTTCTAAATTTGATTGCAGTTTTCTAAACTTACTTTCATCTTTCTAAATTTCTTTGCAGTTTTCTAAACTAAAATAACATCTTTCTAATTTTGATAAATAGAGACATTTTTTTATTTGTCATTAAAGTTAAACACATCGCATTAAAGTTTTAAATTTACAATGTTTCTTCTCACTTTTTATTACTATTGCTTACCCTTTTATAAGCTTATATCTTTTTTACCAGATTCCTTATCGATCTAATAGAAGAAGGGAAAGAAGGCCTATGGTTGTAAACACCATGCAGGTTGACTTGAAAGGGGGGAAGGTGGTGAGGGGCGGGGGGGGGGAAGGTTTAAGATCCAATTTTTAAAATATATGTGATAAGATAAACCAAATCTAATTTTTTATATTAGCTGAACTGTTTTTTAGGTAAAAACTCTTTCTACAAAAAAACCCCCCCCTTCCAACACCACACAGTATCGGCCTAGGTTGAAAATTGAGATTTGCTTTTGCCTGAAACTCCCTCCTATAGATACCCTGCCACAGTGCACACTTCACAGCCTTTGCTGTCAAGCACAGAGCAGATATAGAGATAGTGATACACTGCAGTGAGCAGATCAAACCTTTCCTATCCCTTCCCTATCCCTTCCCTATACCTGACCCTTCCCTATCCCTTCCTTATGCCTTCCCTATCCCATCCCTGTCCCTTCCCTATCACTTCCTTATGCCTTCCCTATCCCTTTCCTATCCTTCCCTATCCCTTCCCTATCCTTTTCTATGGGGTGTTCCATATTAGATCGTAAATGGGTCTAAATTACAATTTCCGGGACTAATCAGAAAATTTAAGAAGAATAAATCATTATGAAAAATTGAATTAGGGTAATATGAAATATTTTCTTGCGGGAAATGCTTTTTTCCAATATTGTATGTTTATTTTGGCGTTAAAGCTTGGAGGTAGTCTAATATTATATGGGAGCGCGGTACGTACTTATAGAACAAGGAGAATGGAATATAATGGAGAAGGAGTCGACCCGTGGAAAATGTCATAACATTGCTTTTTAAGCCTAACATTTTATTGAAATGGATAAAACTTTAAGGGGAGTCCGTCCCATGCAATAGTCAGCTCCATGTACTGTAGGACAACGGACTCCATTTGAAAAACAGTTTTTCGAAGGTCAGCTTTTTAATTTTGAAATGTGGTTTTTTACTAGACCATACTAAATAAAACAGATTTTTTATATCATAAAATACGTTTGTATTAGCTTTATTTTTTGTTTCCCCATGAAAATGTTTTTGTTTGGCGTTTATCAGCCAACTTTTTCCCCTGTTTTAAGTATACAATAATTCATCCAGACAGAACAAACACTAGGCTGAGAGAATATCAGAAATATGAAGACGACATTTATTTTTTTGAAAATCCACGACATTTTTTGTTAAAATCCACCAACTTTTATTGCTTTGTTTTACAATGTACACAAAGAGAACATGTTCACAATTAAAATAGAAGATAGACTAGTATTTATATAATCACAAAGAATAACAAGAAACTAATTGCATGTTAAATGACATAGTACAAGACAACTATATTGATGGTAATAGTAAAGAAAACAGAATTTTGTAAACATTTACGTTAAAAAATGACACAAATTTGTATTGCAAGGGGTACTAATGTATCTTAATTGTACAAATATGTATTCTGTTGGCTTCAATGGACTTATAGAATGTCGTCTTCAAAATATATTCGAGCCTGGTGTTTGTCCAGTCTGGATTATGTGATAACCTAACCTATTACATTTTTACGGTATTTGTATCATCAGACAGTTAGGGAAAGTATATTTCTTTTTCTTATTCAAATATGGAGTAAGGTCTGCAAAACATGTATAATAATATGATATGGCGGGCCTGCAGGTCGACACCGTCTCCATTATATTCTATACTCCTTGACTTAGAACTACATTATTAGTATTTTAAGAATATTTGTATTCAACGACCCTGTACAGAGACGGAAACTGAAGATATAACAAGTTTACCAGATAAGCCGGGTTTTCCATTGCAGAGTCCTGTTTATAAGCTTTTTATAAATGAAATTAATATCAACCAATAAGTGATATGAGAAAACAGAATTATTTTCTAAATGTTTTTTAAATTGCACTTCTACATAAAACCCTACAGGTCTTCGCTACCGAGTTTTGCTATTAGCTGTATCTTAAGTTGCAAGCTCTTACATTAGAATCCTGATGTACACAGTGAACATAGTACACCGTAGAATACCTAAGTATATTTTATAGAAAGATGAGCCTTCAAACCTTGGGACTACTGTTATTTTAAGTGAAAGAGTGCTAAAATCTCCCAACTGGCTTGATGATTAGATGAAGATGTTTAAACATTTGGAAGTACTCGTGAAAGTCTAGAAAGTACTCGTTATAGTCTATAGAAAGTAATCTTTATAGTCTAGAAAGTACTCGTTCTAGTCTAGAACGTACCCGTTCTAGTCTAGAAAGTACCCGTTCTAGTCTAGAGAAAAACTGAGAAAAATAAATAGAGAAAATGTTTCCAAGGCCAGAAAAAGACACAAATTCAGTCGGTAAGGATTTTTATTTTAACAGAGTTAATTTATATTAAATGATTTTAAAAGCTTTTGAGACTTTGGGTCCTTATCAACATGAATTTTAATAATAAATGGATGGTCAAACTTCTTATGTACTGTGACCGAGAATACAACAGAGAAGTAGTTTAACTAGCCATACATAGTTCAATTACTTCTCCCTTTTCATATTATCCGGTCTTAGCTCTCTTGAACTTATTTTGGTTATTAAGATCCTATGAAGGTGTTTAAAATTTCAAATTCAATATAATCAACTTCACTCTTGAGGTTGAACTAGTGGTTGAAATAATAGTTTCCAATTTTGGACTCAATATATAAATATTTCAGATAGTGTTGCTTCACCTTCAAATAGTTCTGAAGATATTCCGGTGCATTTTCCTGAAAACTTTTCACTCCAGGGCGAATCCATCAACCTTTCACCGAGACGGGATCATCTCCCCAACCCTCCAAGTTCGATAGATTTCCCCAGTCCAAGTTCGATATTTTCCCTCTCTCAAACCATAAATACGTTAAATCTTTTCCCGGATAAAGTTGAATCCCCTAGCCCGTCCTCCAGCATAAGAGAAACTCCCCACCAAGCTCCAAAAAATGCCGAAGTTTCTCCTCAAGGAAGGATTGATGATAAGGTTTTTCCTCAAGCAAGTAATGATGCTACTATAGTTCCTAGTGAGGAAATATATCCCGGAGAAGATGAAACAGTACAACTGTCTACTAGTGAGGAGATGTATCCCGGAGGAGGTAGAACGGTTCCACTATCTCCTAGTGAGGAGATGTATCCCGGAGGAGATAGAACGGTTCCACTATCTCCTAGTGCGGAGATGTATCCCGAAGAAGATAGAACGGTTCCTCTGTCTCCAGCCCCTCATCAGGTTTTAACATATCGTTTTAAAAAGATCTCATATGCGTTTAAATCATCATCAAAATTATTCTCTGTAAAACTATTATAATTATTATTAACTACTGGCTTTTCATGTTAAATCTTGATGAAGGGTACAACGAAATATACATGCAATGGTTTAAATAAGATTTTAACTTTTTTAAGTAATTTCTTAAAGATTCAAGTGATGATTGTAGTCAAGTTAAACGCGTTGTATTTGTAATCATTAATATGACTTGATTAATATTTGAAAACTGAGTTAAAATTGTTCTTTATCCCATAGTGGTTGAGATAAATTCAAATATAACTTAAAGAAATACATGGCAGAACGAAACAAATCACGAATTATATCTTAAAATTGTTCTTTATGCCATGGTGGTTGAGATAAATTCAAATATAACTTAAAGAAATACATGGCAGAACGAAACAAATCACGAATTATATCTTAAATTGTTCTTTATGACATAGTGGTTGAGATAAATTTAAATATAACTTAAAGAAATACATGGCAGAACGAAACAAATCACCAATTATATCTTAAATTGTTCTATATCCCATAGTGGTTGAGATAAATTTAAATATAACTTAAAGAAATACATGGCAGAACGAAACAAAACACGAATTATATCTTAAATTGTACTATATCCCAAGTGGTTGAGATAAATTTAGATATAACTTTAACAATGCCCAGTTGAATCTTCATGGGGCTTTATTATAGATTCTTCTAGCTTCAGCGTTTATGGATGATGCTAGAAATGGTCATCATATGGAGTTCGAACCTACAGTCTCGGCAGTAAACCTGTAAGTACTTTTTCAATCAAAAACATAACTAAAAAACTAAAACTGAGTGGTTTGACATAATGAGACTTCACATTTTTTCCATTGTCACAATGTCACACTCTTAAAAAGAACTTTAATAAGTTATACTTTATAATTATAATCATGATTATTTAATGGGAGGCAATAAAACTGTTTTGGTCATTTAAACATGAAACTGCTGCTAAAATAATTTATTCATTTTCAGGTACAACTGGTATAAGAGTTGGTACATGCAGTGGATTATGTACTGTGCCCTGCTGTTGTACCTGGCTCTTGTACTTGTAGAGGAGCCTGCTGTTCCAGGGTTACATGTACAGTTTTATATATCGGTAGGTACAGGTTTATACGTACAGGTTTATATATCAGTGGTTATAGGGATACATGTACATTGTACAGTTTTTTATATCGGTAGTTCAAGGGATACATGAACACTATCATTTATCGGTAGTTAAGGTGCATGTACACTATAATATATTGGTAGTTTTAGGGATACATGTACATTGTACAGTTCTGTAAATCAGTAGTTTTCGGGATATATGTGCATTGTACAGTTTTGTATATCAGTAGTTACAGGGATACGTGTACATTGTCAGTTTTTTTATATCGGAAGTTAAAGGGATATAACTTACAGTACACTGTCATTTATCGGTAGTTATAGGGTACATGTACACTCTTATTATTAGTATATTTTGGGATACATCTACACTATATATCGATAGTTATAAGGGTACAAGTACACTATTATTTATCTGTAGTTATAATTGGGAACGTTCACACTCTGATAGATTAGCAGTTTTTGGGATACATCTTCACTATATATTGGTAGTTAAAGGGGTACATGTACATTGTACAGTTTCATATATCAGGAGCTAGAGTACAAGGAAACATGTACAGTTTTATATATTGGTAGGTACATGGATATATGTACAGTTTTATTTGTAGGTAAATACTGTGAAACATGTACAGGTTTAAATATCGCTAGGTGCAGTTATGTACAGTTTTAAATCGGTAGGTATGGGGATAAATGTATACACACAGTTTATATATCGGTAGGTTCCGGGGTACATTTACAGTTTTATATCGGTAGGTACGGGGGAAACATGTAGATGAGAGTTAAAATTACGAAATTTGTAGTTAAATTATTTTAAATATTGGCATTGGACGGGTTAATGGGGTATAGAGTAATTAAAGAAGATAGGGCAACAAAGTAGAAAATTATAAAAAGAGAATTGGGGGGGAAATGGCTGTCAGAAAAAACAGGTTGCTTAAGAAAGGCAAATAGAAAAGGGGTAAATAGAAAAAAAGAGTATAAACATGGGGGAAGGGAAAGAAGATTTAAAAAAGAAAAGGAGATGGATGGGACCAAAAAGGGAAAGAACAGAGAACAGTGAGAGCTAGCTATGTGTTTTTTATCTAAGTTGTATCGAATCAAAGAAATAAAACAGATGCTAATCATTAGGTTGTGTATAACTAATTACTGATTAATGTAGATGGTAGTAGAGGTTCTGTGTTTGGCATTTTTCTTATTCAGGCTGGGGCATGAATACTGGTTTTCTTCTAAGGTAACTATTAATTGATAAATTAAATAAGAAACTCCGTTAATTAAAAAATGAAACAAATTTCAAAAATGTAAAAGATGAAAAGTTTGAAAAGATGCGACAAAAACTAAAAAATCTTTGAAATTTTAAAAATGAGTCAAAAGAAGAGAAAAATTCTTTATGATGAAAAATAATTGACGTAAATAAGAATTTTAATAAAATCATTATTTTCTCTAATCTGTATTTAAGACACGGTTCTGGCGGGATGAAAAGCATATAGTACTGGTCGTGCTTATATTTGCTTCAGGAAAATAACCAATTATATGTTAAACTTTATTAACAATTTGTTTTATTTAAAACCACATATTTGTTCTCTTAATCTGATTTTCCCGTATAATTACAAAAACTTTAAGTTTATACAGTTGTATTTGCCACAATTAAATTATAGCTTTGGAATAAAAAAGCTTGAAAGTTATTGATTATTTTCAATAGTTCTTGACATCTGCATCTACTGTGCTTTAGCTGGGTTTAGTATCACGTCCATCAGGTAGTTTCTTTAAATTGGAAGAAAAAAAATATTATTAAATTGGTCCGTGTTAAAAATATTTTTAAAAGGGATCTTCTGAATTTTTGAGAGCTGAGAGATAAATGGGTTTCCTTTTAAAGCATAAACATTACCGAATTTTTAATTTGATAATTTATCTTAGTTAAGGGTTTGGGCAAAACCTCTAGCATACAAAACAAAAACTATATATCAGTACATCTTTTTCCAGTTTGTTATTAAAGTCTTCCTATTTATCGTTTTACTCAAGAATGATTAAATGATGTGTACTCCAACGTTTTATGTTGCGCCATTGCCTTATCATTAAAACTTGACTTCTAGTTGTACCCTTTAACCAATTTTTCCTTAATCCGAACTTTTGAGTTTAGAAAGACATTTTGTGTCAGACGCATTTGCGCTGATTTGCTAAAACCTTACACGAATTTTGAACTTTTAGTCCCAATTGAGTTGTGCCCTTCTATCTTTTTTTTTCCGTCAAACATTAAAAAAAAAACATTTTATTTTTTATTTTACGTCTGTTTTTTTCTTTTGCTTCTATCCTTTCCTTTCATGTTATGCAAACTCTGAATATTCTGGTTCCGTAAAAAAGTCTCTTTCATATTCTCCTATTTATCTATTTCTTACTTACTTGGCTATCCTTACTGCACATTAACTGGGTCAGCCTGTAATACCCATCAGTACCCATCTCGTTTATTACTTGACAAAGGTGCAACACTCCGGCTAGAACACACTTGTAAATAATGACTAAGAACTGCATAAAAAGAAAGACAAGACATCAGCTTCACTTATACTTTATACACATATAACAAAATAATTTGCAACTAGTATGATTTTTAGATCTGGTTTACCATTATAAAACAGCACACAATTAGTGACATTTAACTGTTTTCACAATGGAAAATATGTCAGTATCAATCATTAACATGGAATAAAAACCAAACCAAACTGATTAATTCATGATCAATTAGCGGCAAGGATTCTAGTATTTGAAGATTATTGTTTCAGAGTTTCTCGTCCTTTCCGTCCTTTCTTCCTAGTTAATATACCAGAAGGTAAAGATAGAAATAATTGATTGATTGATTGATTGTTGTTAAATATTAATCACCGCAGAATTTTTGGAATTACAAAAAATTAGAAAAAATTTTGGAATTAGAAAAAGTGTCAAAAATGTTTCCAATTTTTTATGAACTTGAAAAATATTTTTCTGGATTTGATAAATATTTTTCTGAATTTGATAAATATTTTTCTGCACTTGATAAATATTTTTCTGGATTTGATAAATATTTTTCTGGATTTGATAGATATTTTTCGAAACTTTATAAATATTTTTCTGAACTTGATAAATATTTTTCTGGATTTGATAAATATTTTTCTGAACTTGATGAATATTTTTCTGGATTTGATAAATATTTTTCTGAACTTGATAAATATTTTTCTGGATTTGATAAATATTTTTCTAGACTTGATAAATATTTTTCTGAACTTGATAAATATTTTTCTGAACTTGATAAATATCTTTCTGAACTTGATAAGTATTTTTCTGAATTTGATAAATATTTTTCAAATTATTCTAAAGCAGGACAAATTATTTTGAATATATTTTTTAATATAAAAAGAGATGAAAAATTTTAAAAAATACGAAAGATTTAAATCCAATTTCGGGTACAGTCCCTTTTTAACCCTGCATATAGCGACCCATACATTAAAGTACAAATGTTTCAAGGTCGTCAGATGAGACGCGCATTCAGAAATATCAGACGCACGCTTCCAGAGATATTTTCCGTGCTTGTCCTTTTTCTTCTTATTATCGCAGTTTTTTCGCTCATGGCTTGCAAGATTTTTGGACACAGGGGCTGGGCAAAGGTTAGTTAAAGTCGAAGGAAAGAGAAGAAAATATTATTTTTAACTAACAAAAAACATATATTTATAAATAAACATTTTTCTTAAATGGATTGTTAACAATTTTTTAATATCAATCAATTTATCAACAAGATTATTTAAATGTATTTAACATTTTAAGCTTGGTTGATATCTAAAGGACTAGATGTCAAGTTCGAATTGCCCCCAACCCCCTCCCCCCATTTCACGATTCCCAATGTTACCCATTACACCCTTTTAATCGTACAAGCAGAACGATATCGTTATTTTGATTTTGAATTATTTATAGTTGCTTCATTTTTGGAGAACTTAATCACTTAATCATACATTTTACACTTTTTATTTTTGTATTGCACAGTTGAACCTTGTGATACACTATGCTAAATTTTAACCCAAATAGAAGATGTGTGCAAAAAAATCTTTAACGAACTAAGAACAATCATTTTTAAATGCTCGTTTTTTTTCTCTTATCTCAAAAGTTCTAAAGAAACTAACGAAGTTGTTGCCCATCATAAGCTAACAACCGTATCTCTTGATAACAATTGATAATGATGTTGTTGTTGTTGTTGTTGAATAAAAAGCTATTATTTCTGATGAAAAGTAAGAAAGTAGCGTGTCTGTTCATTTAGCATTGCAATTTGGAAAGGTTCTAATTGGTTGAGCCAAGTTTAAGTTTAATTATTAAAGCTTTTAAACTTTTAATGAAAACATACAATTTGAACGGTAAAATGCAATAAATAGATCATTTAAGTTTTCAAACTTTTACAAAATATAATTAGACTTTTAATTGCTAGCTCTAAGTTTAAATGTTGTTTGGTTTAGTAGTTGCTAACTACACAAAGAATATTTCTGGAAGGGACTGTAGAAGTAATTTCAAGAGACCCTCCATTTATAGATCGGCATTTTCGCATATAACAGCGCCTTTTGATCCAGTATTTCGTAGATTTTCTTATTTTCGTGACGGGATTAAGTACCAGTGCCTGAAAACTACTAAACAATACAACGGTCGACCAGATGGCGTCTTTGTAAATTCAAGTGACTTTCCATTTACAGACAACGTTTTTAAATTTACCGTTGTAAATCTGATATGCCACTCTACAAAGGGAGAATTACTTAGAATTAATTCATCATGTCTTTTTATCTTTAAACTCTTAAGAACTCTGAAAGAGCCTACTTAAACAACTTTTTAGATAATATGCTTATAGGGCCCTATATTGAAAATGTGTGTAGATATTTATTATTTATATATTAAAAAAGGGACTCTCTTCACTTTTTCTGGTTTAAAAAGAATAAATTGATGCATTACACACTAATTCGCAGCACTAATGTTAAAGCATTGAGCACAGCAAATGTAACATACCATACATGATATCTAACTGTTTAAACTACTGTAGGATCCTACTTTGATTTACATGATATCTAACTGTTTAAACTACTGTAGGATCCTACTTTGATTTCATGATATCTAACTGTTTAAACTACTGTAGGATCCTACTTTGATTTACATGATATCTAACTGTTTAAACTACTGTAGGATTCTACTTTGATTTACATGTTATCTAACTGTTTAAACTACTGTAGGATCCTACTTTGATTTACATGTTATCTAACTGTTTAAACTTCTGTGGGAGCCTACTTTGATTTACATGATATCTAACTGTTTAAACTTCATTAGGACCCTACTCTGATTTACATAATATCTAACTGTTTAAACTACTGGGGGACCCTACTTTGATTTACATGTTATCTAACTGTTTAAACTACTGGGGGACCCTACTTTGATTTACATGTTATCTAACTGTTTAAACTACTGGGGGACCCTACTTTGATTTACATTAATATCTAACTGTTTAAACTACTGGGGGACCCTACTTTGATTTACATGTTATCTAACTGTTTAAACTACTGGGGGACCCTACTTTGATTTACATTAAATCTAACTGTAGGACCCTACTTTGATTTACATGATATCTAACTGTTTAAACTACTGTAGGATCCTACTTTGATTTACATTAAATCTAGCTGTTAAGACTACTGTAGGACCCTACTTTGATTTACATTAAATCTAACTGTAGGACCCTACTTTGATTTACATTAAATCTAGCTGTTAAGACTACTGTAGGGCCCTACTTTGATTTACATTGAATCTAACTGTTTAGACTTCTGGAGGACCTTACTTTGATAACTACCTGGATTCCTACTGGGATCTCTACGTCCTAGTAACTACAGCAAATAATCCTGATATCATGATGCCAGCTTACGATCAGAATCCATGGTAATTATTCTGTTTTAGTCCTAATTGTATCATAGCTGGATCTGCTTGATCTTGATCTTTAGTTAATCTGCAGATTAATTTAACCTTTATTCTATACTCCATGAACGGACGAGATTAAGTATTGGTCCTCAAATTAAAAGTACTTGTATTTGATATCGAGATCGGGATTATTAATACCCGACACAAAATTCCCAGCTCAAGTCAAATTTCTGTGAAAATACTTTAGAATTTTTTTTCAACAAGTTTTTAGATTTACAAATAATAAAGAATGGGCTGGTTGCAGTATTTTTGTTAATATTCATTTTGATTGAAAATCACTCTCTTTTTTTAGGTTATCCCTGTTCTTTATTATCTTTATCATCATCTGCGTTTACATCTTTATGTCCATATTCCTGGCCGTGGTGTATAACAATTACAGGAATGTATATATAAAAATTTTTTGAAAATTTTGTAAATTTTGTCTCTCTTAAAAATTCTCATGGTTTTCCTTGTTCAAGAATTAGGAGTAAAAAAGTTCAAAAATATATTCCAAACTGTAATTTTTCAAAGATTTCCATTTTATGACATGAAAGATAATTTCTTATCAAATGTCCATAATACAGCAATGTTACCGGGGCATTTCGTGCTACTTTTTAAAGTAAAAGTTTCTCTTTGAAATCTTACATTACTGCAAATGACCAATTTTTTTCCACAAAAACATTAACACTAACTCTATACAAGTTTTACAGATTTTCCTGATTTTTAAAATTAATTTTAAAAATAAAAATAAAAATAACTTTTAATTCTGAACATTTACCCCGCCTAGGGTAACAAAATTTGCGCCCTTTCGATTTTACCGTTTAAACGTTTATTGGACACAAAAAAATTAACACCCAATGCAATATATATATATATATACAATGTTAGATCCAATTTGAAGAATGAGATACAAGAAGCCTTACGTAGAAAACGAAAATTATTAAAAACAGTAAGATTTAAAGTTTTTGTTGTTGCTTTGTTTCATATTCTACTTCAACAGTTGAAATTGTATTATGTTTAAGTATACAGGGTTTCCCAAAAACAAAAAGGAAATACTTCTATATCGTCTTTGATCCGTGCGGTGTTATCTTGCAAACACAATTTTAGCAGTACCCCAGTTGAAACAGTTATTAATAATACAACTAGTCGACAGTGTGGGAATTCGAAAATGTGGTTTGCAATTTGTGCACCTTCAAAATTAAAGGAGACTGTCTCTTATTTCCCATGTTTATTGGGACACCCTGTATTACATATAAATTTAGGTTGAGATATTGTTTTGGCAGTAATATGCGTCAAGAACAGATTTGCTAAACAAATGCTAACGCATTATATCCTTAGAATCTTACCATTTAAAAGTGCCAAGTGGTGTGAAATAAAGGAAATCTAAAGCCTGAAACTGATGTTAGTAAATCTACAGAGTATAAGAAAAAATGTATTTACAAGTAAAAAAATAACAAATAAAATGATACTATAATGAATCATGGAAAGCCGGATAAGCTCTCTGGGAGACTCTCCGTCTTTCATTCGCCTTGTAGGACGAGTTAATCTTCCGTCTTCCGATCCTTTGTGAATACTAACTCGGTTTAAGTCCGATCCTATTTTCCCTTTCCTCGTGTCAAGCCGTGTTTCATATCTACTGGCTTGAATTTTTTTTTGGTTTTGGTTTTCCACACGCTCGCGTTCAAATAATGCGTTAAAAGCGTCTTTCTAGGCTGGCATCTTTTAACGGATAAATCTATTTACACGATATTCATGAGGCGACTTATCATCTGTCCCACTGCTATCGTTGACTTAATTAAGCCTATCTCCATGCTTACAATAGGTATAGGGTTGAAATGCATATTCATTGCACAACTTTGCAAGCCCAGCTGAAACTTTAGTGTATGTGCTAAGAGGGTTTAAAAAAAGTGCCAAAAAAGGCCGGTAAAAAATGAAAAATTTTTGTTTTAGTTAAAAATCAATATGTGACATATGTTTCTACATCCATTTTTTAGGCCTTTTTAAAATTATTGTTTTTAGTTCTGTAGATTTAGTCACAAGAAGGTTATGGGTTATTCTAGATTTATTTTTACGCAGACTGGACTTTTTACTGCCCTTGGGCCTGTAACGTACCTTATGCATTGAAAACAACTTTTTACAAAAAACCTTTAATTTTCTAAAATGAGTGTCTGAAATGAGAGTGCTAGGGCAAAACAAATAGATTGATTATTCTGATTAAACGAAGCGCTTAGCTCCCATGGTTTCTTAAATTTGAATTCAATCGCGTTTATGCCTTTAATTCAACAATCTTTAAACTTGCGGAGTTTTCTTGTCACACTTTTTTTTTCAATCTTCTGGGAAAAGGGCTGAACTGATGAACAATATTTAAAACTCCGATATTTTAGGTTTTTGATCTGATGAAAAGTAAAGAAAACGGAAAGGAAGTTATTAGAGAACAAGACTTTGCTAAACTTATTCAGGAATCTTTTTAGAAATGAAGCTATTTTTTTTTAAAGAAATATAAATATTTTTCTGTTTGAGCAAAATAATTCTGGAGTTCATTGAAGGTTTGGCGTTCATGAGGAGTGAAAATTTAACAACCAATTTCCCCCATTTAAAATTAAATTTATTAAAGTTAATAATACTACTACTACTAATAATAATAATAATCATTTCGACAGTTAAATCTATAAAGCAAAGGAATAAATTTTTACAATTGTTCGAGGACTGAAAGGTCTGAGACCAAATTATAAATTTAGTTTAAATATATATAATATAATCACATTTTTTCTCATTTCCCCAAATTGAAAGTTTATTGCTATAATACAAATTGTCGTTAAATTATTTTGAAAGTTTGTAAAAACTGAATTATTAGGTCAATATTTGAGTGTAAAAGTTTACTGTAAAAAGATTATCTTATCAGTTAACTCTGCCCAGGAAGAGCCAACAATACACTAAGGTAGATTTAAATTAAAAGGACTGTACTGTGCTGTACTGTACTGTACTGTACTGTACTGTAGGCATTATTTCAAGTGACCCTCCATGCAAAGATGAGTATCCCCGATTCACAAAGGTACCCTTTAAAGTTTTGCCTGATCAAGTATGCATTATATACCAATGTAAATAATTTAAAAAAATGATTATTTTGAATTGTGGTTTCTCTCCAAAAGTGACTTGTTCATTTCAATTGCAGGAAAATATATATAAACTATCAGAATAAAACAATAATAAACCTAGAAAAACGATACAGCTTCCATATTATTAATAAGATAAAGGGTTCCGTTGTAAATTGGGAATTGTCATCTAGGAATGGAGAGTCTCTGTAAAACCTTGTGGAGAAATGTCAAAAGAAATTCCATGTTTTATTCTTTGATCTAAATTATTTAAAATATATATGTGTTTTTGATGGATACATGTAAATACACTTAAAACTGTTAATTGAACAAATAGTTTTGAATAATCCATTAGTTTTAGAGTAAAATAACATTATAACAGGTTATATTCATCTAAACAATCTGTGCTTAGACTCCTTTATTTAATAAAGAAATGAGTTGTGTTGGTTTATGTTGTTTAAAAAATAATGGAACTGTACGTAATTTCAATTGAACCTGCACTTGTGGAGTAATCTTGAAACATTTTTCTGATCAAGAAGATATGCGAAATTTAAAGGGAGAGTCACTTAAAACTACGCCAACAGTCCCTTTAATAAAAATGTTAAAGTGTTAAGATGATTTAAACCCTCTTTAGGATTAGTATAAAATATCTTGGGATTGTTGACGCTATTAAAGTTACCTTTACACATTAGAATCACAGACCCGCTTCACAATGGTGCACAGTATACATCAGTGTTTTAGAAATCATGATTTATTTAATCTTGTTTTTATCCTCTGAAAATTGATTATTTTTAATTTGGGGTTTCTTTTGTTTTTTTGCAAGAGAGACTATGAATGAAATTAACAAAATCTACCTCTTTGATGTTAAAGGGGCATTCAAAGTTTAAATTTAGGGTCACTCGAAATTAGGTCGACAATCCCTTTAATGCTCGAGTGATAAATTGATACTTGTGTTTAGATGGTTTAGTGTCTCCTGGACACTGATAATAACGGATATTTGTGTTTAGATGGTTTTGTGTGTCCTGGACGCTGGTAATAACGGATATTTGTGTTTAGATGGTTTGGTGTGTCCTGGACACTGATAATAACGGATATTTGTGTTTAGATGGTTTGGTGTCTCCTGGACGCTGATAATAACGGATATTTGTGTTTAAATGGTTTGGTGTGTCCTGGACGCTGATAATAACGGATATTTGTGTTTAGATGGTTTGGTGTGTCCTGGACGCTGATAATAACGGATATTTGTGTTTTTAGATGGTTTGGTGTGTACTGGACGCTGATAATAACGGATATTTGTGTTTAGATGGTTTGGTGTGTCCTGGACGCTGATAATAACGTATATTTGTGTTAAGATGGTTTTGTGTGTCCTGTACGCTGATAATAACGGATATTTGTGTTTAGATGGTTTAGTGTCTCCTCGACGCTGATAATAACGGATATTTGTGTTTAGATGGTTTGGTGTGTCCTGTACGCTGATAATAACGGATATTTGTGTTTGGATGGTTTGGTGTGTCCTGGACGCTGATAATAACGGATATTTGTGTTTGGATGGTTTGGTGTGTCCTGTACGCTGACAATAACGAATATTTGTGTTTTTAGATGGTTTGGTGTGTCCTGGGCGCTGATAATAACGAATATTTGTGTTTAGATGGTTTGGTGTGTTCTGGACGCTGATAATAACGGATATTTGTGTTTAGATGGTTTGGTGTGTCCTGGACGCTGATAATAACGGATATTTGTGTTTAGATTGTTTGGTGTGTCCTGGGCGCTGATAATAACGGATATTTGTGTTTTTAGATGGTTTGGTGTGTACTGTACGCTGATAATAACGGATATTTGTGTTTAGATGGTTTGGTGTGTCCTGTACGCTGATAATAACGGATATTTGTGTTTAGATGGTTTGGTGTGTCCTGGACGCTGATAATAACGGATATTTAGACCAAAAGGAAAACCCAATTAAATGAAAAATAAAAAAAATATGCATTTTATGAATCTAAAATATTGAAACATTTTGAAATCTTGGAAGAAATCTTCACCAATTTGAGTACTAGCGGAAAACTCATTCTATTGGGGACAATTTGCTTTTTCGTCAGAGACCCCTTGATTTTAAGTAGAGACCAACATGTTTTTATTAGATACTCCCTTACTCAATAGGAGACCCCAAGTTTTTTTTATCGGAGACCCTAAAATTTTCTGTAATGAAAACTCTATAAAGTTGTGAGTGTTCGATAAAATATTATATGGATTTCATAGTACTTCAATGATGTTAAATTCTTTTCTTCTTTTCAAACTGTACACCTTTCTCGAAGTTAAATTGGTTACTGTTTTCTGCAGGAGTTTTTAAATGTAGCTGATCTTTTGAATATCCCTGTCACAGAAGTCCTACCAAATTTATTTGAAAGACATGTTCCCAACATTTATCAATCTTCCTCATCAACTATACTCAAATCAGTGGTCAAACATAAGTGGTTCAGATACATATTTGATAGTATCATCATTATCAACGCCTTCTTCATCCTCTTCGATATGCCCGATGGATACGAGTTCGGTTTCCTAACCGTATTTATTATTGAGATCCTCTTGAAGATTTACACTTTTGGATTCTATATGTTTAGTCGTAAACTTTGGAACGTGTTTGATGTAATCGTGATCGGATTAGCATTCATAATTTCAATCATTGAAGTTATTCGGGGAGATGAATTTGACAGCAGGCTGATATTGGATATTATGCTAGTGCTCAGGGTTCTTAGGATTGTTAAAATATTCCATAGCCTAGGGCGGTTCAGAACTATTCTGAACACTATCATGCTCATTCTACCCTCCATGCTCACATATGCCGGGGTGCTCTTTGTATTTTTCTACTTCTTCGCTGTGATAGGACTAGAGGCGTTCAAGGGTAGTATTGAGTTCTATGGGCCTGATGACAATAGCCTTGAGATAGATCAATTGAACTGTGGAAATATCAACTTGGAGAACTCTGAGTTTGCCCGACAAAAATACTGTGGAAACAATTTCAACAATATATTACGAGCATTTGTTGTTTTGTTTGAACTGCTGGTGGTTAATCAATGGCACGTGATTGCCAATGGATATGAACTGGCGGTAGGATCCAGGTTTACAAGAATATACTTCATCTGCTTTCACCTCCTCTCCGTCATCATTGTTCTCAATATCTTCACCGCCTTTGTTCTCGAGGTGTTCATACATGAATACTCCTTTACCAAGGGTAGGCTGGAATCATCCCTTGAAGTAAAGATCAATGAGATGGGACTAGGTTTGGGAAGTCGTCCTATTCAAAATACTCGACATAAACCAGACGATCAGTCAAGACAGTCTATAATCGAAGATGATCAACTAGCGAATGACGAGATCGATGCTGATCATGATAATCTACAGTTTGTGTGTAATCAGCTGGCAGGTTTGTCCACTAGATATACAGATTACTCTGCTGACACTGCGGTTAGGTTTCATCTCAACAAAGGAGCCCGTAACGTTCACACTATGCTGGAGAAACTCTTTATAAAGGAACTGGATGAAAATGATCTGAACGATGAGAGAGGGAATGTTTTTCTATCCTCCTAACTAACCAATACAAACTTTTCTAGATATAATTCGAGCTGAAAGGGTTTGTGCACGTAATTTGATGTGACCGTCTATTTATAGATTGGCATATTGTCTCAGCAAAAATTATGTTTTTCTATTTTTCTATAAAAATTACTTCCGGCATAATGCCGCAGAAATAAGTAGGGAATTAATTAATTAATTAATTATAATAATTCAATCAATAATAATAATTCTGTTACAGTGATAAAAATAGATAATGATAATGAGATAATTACGAAAAAACATTTTATTTCCCTTTCCCATCTTTCAGACTCCGTGTTTTACAGAATATTTTTTAAAAACCCTGTACAAAATTTGTCTCTTTAATACCAAATATGTGATAATCAAAGTATAACCTTGAGATAACCTTGAAAATTTCTCAAAATTATTCATTTAATTCATGTTGCATAAAAAATTATTCTTGATTTAAAACTTGAAAATATATTTACCACAATACGTAGAGAAGTCAGTACTTTTGTTGTTGTTAAACCCCTNTCTGGATTATGTATTTTATTCAAACATAATTTAGTTCCGATAACCCGTGGTATTATATTGCAGATGTAAATTACAGGGTCAATCATTGATCGTTAGGTCTAAAATAGCCCACTTTAGATATCAAGATCAAGTGTTTAAGTTTAAACACAAAAGTTTTCGACCTCTGCTAAAATTACGGGTGAAATTTTATCAATTATTAATCCTGATGCATTCTTGAAGGTTTTACTATGTTGTACAATTCAGCCGGAAAACCCCAAACAATCAAATGCAATTAAAATGTTTTAAATCAAATTAAAGTTTTTGGAAACATATTTATAAATAGGTTTATAAACATCTTGAAAATCTACAATTAGTCTTGGCCAAAATAAGCAGTTTTAGCAAAATTATACTTTTACAGGATTAATTGAGATAAGAAACAAAACCATTTCAATTATCATTGTAATCGTAATTTAAATTTTTCCCCATATATTGTAAACCCATAAAATTTTATAAAAGTACGTTTAACTCTGCAAAAAGAAAAAATTAAAAGCTGACAGTTTCAAGATAGAATTAATTCACATTTGATAATATATTCAGTTTATTCAACATATGATCTTTCAGGTTTCTGAAGCCGCCTTTAAAACATCTCTGATAGATTTTTAAAGGCTAAATTGTCTACGGGAATGTTTCTTTAGTTAAATTTCCTTAATCAATTGTAAATAATTTAAACTATTATTTTAAATCCTTGTAATTTGTAATTGTACAATGTGATATTGTAGTACTAAATGTGATATACCCATTACTCAATAATGTGACATTCCATGTTTCTGATAAATTATTTATAGATAATAATAAAATGGAAGGACATATGTATGCTTTCATCTATATATAAATTCGGCTTGTCTGTCTGTTTGTCTGTCTGTCTGTCTGTTTGTATCCAATAAACGTCAAAACGGCTGAACCGATCGGGCCCAAATTTTTTGTGGGACATCTATGGACCCCGGAGAAGGTTTATGAATGATTGAAATTTTAAATAATTGTCTCCATCAAAATTCGATCTTCATTAAATTTTTTTAAATTTTGAAAATTCACGAAATTTTTTGTGAAAATCCAAAAACTATTTTTGTTTTGTTTTACGATGTACACAAAGAGAACATGTTCACAATTAATTTAGAAGATGAGGCTACTTAAATTAAATTGTGTTAACGAAAAAATTACCGAACAATTCTCATCTTCCAATGTCTAAAATGTACACGGAAAGGGCTACAGAAAAGCACAAGAGAGTTAAATCAAAGTCCAAGGCGTTGCGACACTTCAAAGTCGACCCTGTCTTAAAACTTGAGACTATTTATGAGCAGGCTAAATCACTGTGAGTGGGACACCCTGTAGTATGAAGTATATCTAGTTTTTATTTTGTTTCAAAACAACTAAATCTATTTCTAGTTTCTGGATTAGATTCATTAAATGGTTGAAGATTCAAGATGTCACGTCTGAATGGTAACTACAGTACTTTACCATACAGAGTAAAGTAATAACACTACAGAGACGACTGTACGGAGTAAACTCAGTCTTTTTTTAGTTCATTTAGGGTTTTCACAACTTCACGCCTGCTTCTTTCTTAATCAAATTTTATACGATGACCAAAATTAACATTTAATTAGTCTCATTTGCAGAATTTGTACTGCATTAATAAAGTCTTATCATTTGTGGTAACCCTGTACCAAGTCAAGATTTTTTTATTTGTGGCAAAGAGAGGTTTAAGCCTATTTTAGAGTTTGACATTTGTTACTAATTAAAAATATGAAAATCAGAAAACACCCGATTTCAAATCAGAAAACACGCAATTTCTAATCAGAAAATCTGCCAATTGTGAAAATGTTTGATCTGGCACTAGCTAACATCATGATCGTTTCCACTTTTCTCTTAGCTCCGGCAACGATGGTTCTTGAAAGAATTCAAATCTTCAAATCCATAACATGTCTTTTTAAATTTGGAAACAGGGATTCTGTCTTTTCTTGTATAACTGAGGGGTTAAGTTGGGAAAGAATATTATTTTGATGAGTTTCAAAACACATTAAACCTTAAAAAGGAGTTAACAAGAGTGTAAATTGTAAGCGAAATCTAATCATGATGTAATTGTAAATGATCGGAATAACCGTTATTTCTGTCCAATGTTACTGTCCAGAGGAATTTATATATATGTGTTTAAGAAAAGTAGAAAATAAAACTGTAGAAATCCTAGTATCTCTCTGTTTAAGCTTCTTGACAGTACTTCCTAGTGGTGAGTGGGTTGTTGCCTATTTATAGCAAACTTACTCTTCTAAGAAAAGCATTGGTTAAAGGTTGTGAATAATAAAGTTTTAAAGGAATTGAGTCTTTGCAACAAACTCTGATTTTCTAGTCCCAACCAAATGTCGTAGACTTTAGATATTGCAAACTATAAATTACGTTAGCTTAACTTATCTAATGTGTACAACATTAGGTCGCTAAGATATTTATTCAATGTTTTAAGATTTAAGCCGGCGCTCTATCGAAACCTGTTTTTGGCGGATTTAAGACGCGGCTCAAATTCATTAAATTCGGACTCAGTTTAAGTTTTGGATTATAGGATTAAACGAAATTATTTGAATTAAACGNTATTATAACATTATCATCCTGATAATTTCTAAGCCTAAAAAAGTAAATTATGATAATGTTCTTAAAAGTATTATCTTCATAATTGAATGACAGTAATAGATGATTTTAAAGATAGGTTTATTATGTTTTCTATATTTTACTCAAAACTTACCAAAAAATTATCAAATCCTTCCAAACTGTTGTCTTCGTCAACCCTCCCCTTTCAATTTACACAGGTTGGACTAAAGACTGGACAAACTAGGCTTTACAGGGCCGGGTGTTAACATCTTACAATCCAAGGGTTAAAGGTGGGCAGTGTTCATATTATTTTTTTATGTTGTGATAATATTATTGTTATATAAGATAGAACTTTTGAATGTTCAATTCCTTATAATGATCAACTTTAGTTACAGCTTAAAAAAACAGGCTTTAAGCAATCTGCCTGAATGTGACGTTAGCACTGAGAAATCGAGGATTTATCCCTCCTCTTCGGATCAAAGATTTGCCTCAGCTAGCAAAGTATTTTTAAGTGCTCTAACCTAATTATTATATAGAAATATTTGTAATACAAACACATTCATTAATATTATTATAATTTAATAGCGGATAGATTAGAGAGAGATTAGAAGTTCATTCAACCAATTTGTCACCTGTTATAGAACATACTGCCGAAAAAGATCCTAAACTAACGGCCATAAAAGTAAATCTATTATTAGGCCACCTTGCAGTCTTTATGCTGTACAGTGTACATTATATTTAATGAATGAAATAATAGGTTTGCAACAGTTAGCCGGGTCCAGCTGGGTTTTCATATATAAAAATATATTTGAAACGTATTAGTATTATATATATAATAAAAATACAGGCCTCTCAACAGTTTTAGATAAATATTCTTTTTTTATTTTTAAAAAAATTACTGTTTAAAAAGTGATTGTTGCAGAAAATTGTTCTCCAAATATATTTTTCAACATTTTTTTGCAAAGAATTTTAGCACTGCGACCTTGGGCCTCGGAGGTTGGCCTTGAACAAGGCCCAGCAACCAACTCCTCGCAAAAGTTTGCACATCGGATAATAAATTGTGGAATTTGTTTGCAAAAATATGCAAACTCATATAGGTTATGCAGTTTGGAGAAAAGCGTCATTTTTGCACTAGTTCCAACTCAGCATTAATTTTTGCAAACAGCTGTGCACCACTGTATCTATTGTTGCATTATTTGTTAATAATTCTGCTCTAATTCTAACTTTTAAACAATAGGAAGCCGAAAACGCATTTCTTGGAAAGAAAGGTTAACATTTTAACATTTTGAACTGAAAAAACCTTTAGCAGAATTTCATTTGTATAAAAGGACGGCGCGGCGTTGTATTTTAAATTCACTGTACGCTATTCACTTAAGAATTGAGGTTTTTTTAGGGATAAATGAAACCTAACTCCTTAATATCAATATTTTTTGAAAAAAGACCCAGCTGCTTTTTTTCTGCTTCTGCGTAATTTTGCATTTTTATGATCAAGATCAAGGTAAGGTAAGGTCATAAGAGAATTATTTGTACTTAAACCAAATTCTTTAATTTATAATGAACTCATTTTCGGTGGCTGTACAATTGTATATTGGTTATGAATGTTATCTAAAATTTGTTTTTATCGAGACATATAACCTTAATATTTTTTGACCTTGGATTTTCCTAACAAAAAATCTATTTTCTCTTCAAAATTTCCTTAAATATCATTAACAAAGGGTCGTTGAAAACGACCGTTTAAAAAAACGATATTTTTAAAAAAATATATTGTTTTTAAAAACGATTGTTATGTTTTTCGTTTCCAAAAATGTTGAATCGATCCAGCTCTAGGCCCATCAAGGTTTATTAATTGTTAGCTAGTAAATTACTCACATGAAATTATTTATCTATTTATTTAATTATCTATATAATAGCCGGTTAAACGGCTGGACCGAATTGGCTGAAATTTTTAATGGACACTCATGGGTGGCCGTGTTAGAGGCTAAAATTAAATTCTAAAATTTTTCAATTTTTTTCAAAATTTTTATTTTAATTTTTTCACGGGCAACGGCGGGTCAAACAACTAGTCTATTTATTAAAAAAAGTATTGCAAGTAAAATATCATTTTTTGAATTTATTGAACGCACAAGTGAAAACTTCTTACCGATAACATTTAAATATGTTGAATAAATGTAAATTTTTTTTTTCACATTTACATTCATTGATTTAATTTTCAATTTGTTCCAATATGGGAACATATCGGAAATAACAACAAATGTTGACACTGTTATAAAAGCTAATCTTTAACGAGTAATAACTAGGGTTTCCAGCGGAAAAGCTAAATCGTTTCGCGAAAATTTCACATTTCGTTCGTTCCCGAAAAATGCGAAAACTTACTTTTTA